TCCATTTTCATTTACATAGTGCTCTGTGAACACAAATTAGTTAGCATAAATCAGTTAAATGACGAAAAATTAGGTGTCTATTTACTTGTTACCACTCATTGTGTGTGTATATATATAGGAGTTATCCCAGAATATGCAAAATTTGGGCTGGCATAGATACCAGAATCAGTGGTGACAGACTGTGTGGGTAATGGATCCACACAAGTGAATGAACTAGGAGAATGTTAATCATTGTTTTTGCCTTTAATTGGATAACAAAAAATCATTCAGAATTTCAAATACCTTTAGGAGAAAGTTTGGAATGATGTTTTGATATCCTTTCTAATTTCAAATAACTTCCTAGGAAATTATCTTAATACCAATAAAACATCATGATGAAGTTGTTCCTCCTTTTTTTTTGATAATAATTGAATAACTGTATTATTTCATATGTATAAATACAAATAGGATAATATTTAAGGTTAATATCAAATGTTTAAATTTCAGTGAGATTATGTGGATTTTGTGGAAATGCAGTGGTGGAAAATATTATTCCATCACCCAATTTTTGTTTGCACGTTTGTTCAGAAATGCGTTTCATGGATGATGCAATAGTGTCTGATTATTATATCGGCAGTTTCATAGGCTGTTTGGGTATTGATTGCATCAGCCATTTTTTGCTATAAATAGAGGTTCTTACTATAGTGATAGTCGGTTTAGAAGCCTATGTGCTACAACTTGCAGCAGTCCTTGTGTCTATGAGCAAAGAGGGACTTTCGATGAGACAGACTGCTAGAATAATTCAATTTAACCAGTCTACTGTGAGCTGCTGGTTGCTAAGATATAGAAAGATTGGCTGTGTGGAGTGGCAGAAGAGAAGAGATAGGAAGAAAGCTTCCACAGATCTCAAAAGAGTATGGCAAGAAACTTCAGAGGTTACTGTCACCAAATGCACCATCCAGTCTCATCTAGATGTCTCACTCTTTCTGATTGAAGTACACTTTTTGATGCGGGCAGGATTTCTAATGTTTGGATGCTGGACAAGAGTTCACTCCACATCAACATGCTCGATCTTCTTGCTCTTTGTTGTGTATATTCCCATTCCTGCCCCTACTTATGGTTTACTTGTTCTTGTTCTACTCAGCCTATTCCATAGTGTTTCCTTGCTTCAACTATCCTTGTGGCTCATATTCCATGGCCTTTTTTTGGGGGGAGGGGGGCATTAACCACACACTTCTGAGCTTGTTTACATCATCTGCCACGAGTTTTAATCTTGGTGGTGGACCACCTCTCTTAGCCAGTTAATATTCTATCAACATAATAGTCTCTGCACCCCCTGATCTTCCATGGGGTTTACTCTTGGTTGGTTAAATCCCTTCTCAACTCTAGGCATCCTCTCTTATGGTCCTCTATCCTTCATTCTTAAGCTCAGACTGTCAATTTCACAGCCTGGCCTGGTTTTATTTCTTTCTTTATGACTAATCCCCTACTTATTTTCTCCTTCTGGGCCTCAGACTTACACACAATTCTCCTCTTAAGCTTTATTGTTGGTACCTCTTTGATCATCTTGGTCTGCTTGATATTTGGACACCCCCCTTCATATTCCCATTATTCCTTTTCTTTTGCTTCTCACTCTCAAACTTACCCCTTCCTCATAGAGGGATATCCTCCCTCCATCCTCACGGATGGAAGTTGCCCAGTCTGTCACGTATTAGGCTGAACTTTTCACTAATGTGGAATTATTCTTTTCACATTTTTATCATTCTACTGTATTTGTCTATTTCCATCCTTGACGTGTCTTTTGTCATTTGTCCTTCCCCAATCTCTTTCCTCCTTGCAGTAATTCTGTGCACCACCTTTTTGACTTTCTTACATGACTGTTTGTTGATGGATTCTCAGTCTTAACCTTTCCTAGTTGGCAGGTGGCCCTGTCCTTGGCCATTCCCCTTTCCTGATACCAAGAGGTGTTTCTTCCCCTGTCCTCTCCATTTTGTTTCATTTCTTCATTAAGCACTCGGCTTGACTCCTCAGTGTGCCTCATCATGAACCTGACCCCTTAGAAGTCCTTACCTTCATCTGTCACCATCCTGGAACCCACCATTTTTCATGTACCCATTTTCTTATTCCCTTATGGAATGGGTCTCAGAATGGGGATGCTTGCAGAGAATTTCTCTTTTCTTTTAATTTAATTTGTCATCTTTTTTGTTCTTTTACATATCTTCTTTGATGGATTTTGGTCAAGCTGTTCCAGACAGTCATGTAGGCTCTCCACACATTTCATTTTTTATACCTTCTGGCTATTAACATCCTGATGGTTTTTGCATTGGTTGTAGTAAAAGATCTTTCCTGACTAAAGAACTTATGGGATCCAGGCACCTTCTCTGGGTCTTCCCTACATGATTTCTCCTCCCCCTTCATTGAATGGAGTCTGGGAGACCTTTGATACTTACCAATTCCTAGCCATTGAGCTGGTGGACCATGGAGAACCCTCACCAATTGAAACTTAATTGCTGGGGATAGAACAAGTAGTACCAATACGGTGTGAAGTGGGACAGTGGTGACACTGTTAATGTAGTACATGTTACCCCTCATATAAATTACTCATGCCCTCCTCCTGCAGCCTGAGTCTGTCCAGTAGAGTTGAGGTGACCACACACTAAATGACTGTGCTCTTTCCTTCAGCTGGAGTATACACAGTAGAGTTGAGGTGAGCACACAATGAATATGGACCAATACTGCTTAATAAAGTGCCCTCTTCCTGCAGGTAGAATCTATTCCACAGTTCAGTTGAGGTTAGCAATAGCTATACAATACCAATATATATATGTTTAGCTCAAATGTCCTCCTCCTGCAGCCACTGTCTCTTCAGTTGTTGAGATGATCACACTAAATACCAGTCCTTGCTACATAACAAATGTGCTTTCCTCCCACAGCTGCCTTTGAAAACGTTTCATGACCTGTCACATTCTATTTTTGGATTGTTTTTTTTTCCTAATGGTCAGTAGAAAATAGCATGAGATTTGTTCAGTTTTACTGAGTGTCACTAAGTACTGCTATTTTTTCCCAACTTAGGTATTGTTCATATAGTTTTATAAAGTTGGTGCTCCTTTGCTGGTTACATCATTGAAGCAACTTGTGCCACTTTTATAGAGATAAATCCTTCTTTATTATGTTGCCTTGGATACACAGATGGCTTCTTCCATTGTGGAAACAACTTGTGTCTCTTACAGATGTAGATCCTTCTTGATTATGTTGCCTTGGGTACACAGATACCTTCTGCCATGGACTTTTGTGTTGGAAGATTCTCACCTATTTAAAAATGCCCTTTTGCCAGTCTCTCTATTGATGGACCCAAAATTATCGATGTTCCTTCATTTTCCAATGCCTTTAAGTTTAAGGGATATATATTTGTTATTGGAAATTGTCTTGGAAATTCTAATTCCTCAAAACCAAACACATCCTTATGATCTGAATGTATGAATATTTTGCATCAGAAAGGGCTGTTATCTACCCTTCCCAAAAGTGATCAGTTTTCAATGGCATCACACTACATATGAAATGCCAAGTAATACCAAAATGTATTTCTAATAGATGCTATTCCACCACAACTTTATATTGGCTATGGTTATCAAATGACTTTCTGACTTATTTATTCATAATCATTTTAATATAACATACTTAACCTTCTGTAATACATTTGGTTAAGTACTTGGGGGTGATGTTTATCAGCAGTGAAGGTGGCACTCTTTCTGATACAAGATGTCTTACATCATTAGACCTTCTATTATGGGCATAGTAACATTTCTCACTTCTTTGCTGGCATCTCATGCTTGGGAGTAATAAAATTTTGGGATTTTACATGCCATGTTCTCCCTACAGGTTGGCCATTCTATCCTCTAACAGACATTTGGCTAACATCATATTAAATATTTTGCTACTTTCTTCAACTATTATTCTGGTCTGTGACCACACACTAAATGACTGTGCTCTTTCCTTCAGCTGGAGTATACACAGTAGAGTTGAGGTGAGCACACAATGAATATGGACCAATACATGTAGGTTTATGTGCTCAATAAAGTCAGGAACCTCTAATTGTTTTCCCTCTCTGTCTGCTCATGCATGATTTCTCTTTGCTCTTGTCTTTTTAGGTATGATCACCTCTTTGTCTGTCTCCTACACCAACCTTCAGTGTCTTCCTTCAACAATATCTTGGCCAACTAAATTAATTCTCTTGCTTTATTTTTCCATGCTTATGAGAATGGAATATTCTCCTACGTTGCTAAGTGCTGCCAAGTGTCCACTATTATATTTTACCAGTCTTAAGTGGTTGGTCTATTGAACGTGATAAAGAAATTTAAAGGCGGGATTTTCTGTCTCTGTCAATGACTAATATTATTCCTTATTCTGTTTGCATATCCTCCTTTTTGTATCTATAATTTATTTAGTATAATGTGGATTCAGATCTGATTATCATTAACTTCTGATCAAAGGAAGCTTCCTACATAGATCAGAACTACAAATTATGCAACTTGTGAATATAGGTAGTGTAATATACCATTCTTACTAATACCAGTTAGAATGCATTGGTATGTTAGTTGTGTATCCCTACTGTTATTGATATTTTTGGTCATAATTTCAATGTGTATTAGGTAATCTGATGTAATGTTATATGTAGCCTCTGGCCTAATATTTATTGTAGTCTTACCTAAATTTGTATTTAATCTGATAGGTGGCTATATGTTATCAGATTTGCACTTAGACACCTAATGGAACCTTAAATGTCTTTTCATAAAGTTAAACCATTTCACACATAGGTATATATCTTTAATTTTTCAGTTGTTTTACCTGCTAATTTGCACAAAATGTGGCTGAAATGTATCTAAAACTACTTATTTTGTAGATTTATACTATGTGCTATTTATAATATTCAAGAATAAATAAAATAAGCAATACATGTATCTCTTTGAATTAATATAAAAATACATCTTTTATTAGTTTTTAATAAATATT